TTTGGATTGTAACTAGTTAATGTTAAAGAGATTCCTATCCATGCGATACTGGATGTTGACTCCAGATGGAAGTGTATCAGCAATGAGATGTGAAATAGCTGCAATATAGATGGAAAAGCATGTTGGTACATTCACACGACCTTGCTTGATTCCATTTCTAAGCCATTGCTTAGGACAGCTGCTGTCATGTCATCATGAAAAAATCTGATATTGTAAAAATTTTTTGGCAGGCATCCAAATCTCATCAGCATCTTCCACAGGACTTCTCTGTTGGTTGACTCAAAGGCCATAATCAGGTCAATGAAGGCCATGTGAAGATCTCAGTGTTGGTTGCAGCACTTTTGAAGCTGTCTAGCAAGAAAAGTTGATATCTGTTGTACTTCTGAGTGGTCTGAACTCACATTGGGACTTGGGTGGAATCTCCTCAGTGAGCAAAGTGAGTCCATTGATCATTGGGAGAGCCTCAAGAAAAGCATTCATGAGATGTGCAAAGAAGCTTTAGGCTTCTCTACAAAGAAACATCAGGACTAGTTCAATGAGAATGAGAATTATAAGAAAGTTCAAGTTCTCATTAACAGGAAAAGGACAGCCTTGCCAGAAGCCTTCAAATTTTCATCTCCAAACAGAAACAAATCACTTATCACCACATTAAAGCCAAGTCCCAGAGGGAAATTCAAGAGTGAAAGAGCAAGTGGTGGGAGGACATAGCAAAAGAGATTCAAAAGTTTGCCGACAGCCACATGCATAGCACAGCCAATGCTATCTATGGCCTGGTACACAAAAAGCTGTCCCCTGAGGTCCAAGGATGGAACAGCACTCTTTTTTAAAGACAGCTTCACCATCACGGTACAACAGAAGAAGCACTTTCAAGAGCTGCTGAACTGAAACTCTAATGTCAAAAACAATACCATCAAACCCATTTCACAACACCCTAAGGACTACCTTACAAATCCACCAATTTATCAAGATACTTTGAAAGCCATTAAGCAGCTGAAGAACAACAAAGCATGTGGTCCTGATGGAATACCATCTGAAATTTATAAGCCAGTAGACAAAAGATCTCTCACAAACTAATACACATCCTTATTATGAAAACCTGGAAACATGAACAGATTTCCAGTGACTTGAAAGATATTCAAGAAAAGATATGGATCAGATTGCAGCAGGTATGGTTTTGCACTCCTGTCCATAGCTGGGAAGATCCTTTGAATTCATGGTCTGTGGCATAAATATTGAGTGTAAGACAGAAACATACTGCAATCAAATCACTTCTGGAGAGATGCACAGACATAAATAACAGATTTGTTCCTGAATAATTTGAAATAAAGATGTATACATGTTTTTACATTTATTACTAATAACCCTGAATCTATTAGTTCTTTCTGTATTACAAAAACAATATAATTGGCATCATTTGTACATCAGAACTATTATTATTAACAAATTTTAATTGTTGTCAGATTCCACCAGTACCAACAGTTTTACATAACAGTTCTGCAAACGTTTCTCTTATGCAATAGAATTTAGGAACTGTTTCCAGAACAATTATAGAATAAAACAATGTTGTCTTTTCCTAGTGGAGTTGATTGATTTGTGTTAGCAAAAGTTATTTTGGTGATGTTTATTAGTTATTTATCAGTGATCACTGGTATAATCTTTTACGATATCTATACTTCCTTCATCTTTGTCTATGACTCCTGAAAATGAATGTTATCTATATTGACATCAGTACTATTTACATTGATATTAGTATCATTTACATATGCCTAGGGTGAGCTGAACAGCCCCTAGAGCTTTTTTTTTTTTTTAAACAAAACCTAATTCTATGATTTTGGAGCCAAGTGGCCACAGTTGTTAATTCTTATTCCTCAGGGGGAAATTTTCTTGCTCTCCAGAAGCTTCAGCTCACATTAAACAATGTCAATCATCTCATTTACTTAGCAGAGTCCTACACATTGTCCAGATTACTGACTTGACAATTCAGTTCAGTTCAACAGCAATTTAATTCCTGGGGCCAGTTTCTGTCCAGCCGTACATTTGCATGCAACACTAATGAAGTCTTGTGGTGATACAAGTTATAAATTAGGACAGAAATTGGCACACAGAGTTTAGTGAACAAATTCCAATGAAGTCTGGTTGTTCATAGGACAAAGAACATGAAAAAAGCCAAAAACATCTTCTGAAAAATAAATATTGGAAACAACATCCTCAGTGAGATGGTCGATCCCTTTCTAGTCCACACATCTACTAGAGCAGTCATGTTATAATTTACTTTTCAGAACACACATCAGTTTTTCCTAAGTACTTCAGCCATCAAGCAGATTAATTCAACTGACAACACATTTCAAACAAACAGCACAGACAAACAGTTACAACCAAATTATTATTTTTTAAGTGAATTATTTTTTAAGTGTTTGCGAAAGTAAACACAGCTCTGGAGTTTGAAGTCCATTGTTTAATGAAAGAACAGGCAGTGCATGCTTCCTCAAACTGTCCTGAAAATGCACCTCAAAAATGCGTTCTGGGAAAAAAAACTTAAGGGGGAAGCAGGCTTTAGTACTGATACTCATTCAGTTCTTGGCCACTCTGCACAGAATATTATCTATATCAGTATCAGTGCCAGGAAAACACTATGACAAAACATGGAGGGTTTGGCTGACATGAACTATCAACTCATTTAATAAAGGTCACCAAAAGCTCTTTGTGATAAACTTTAGGATGTGATTTAGACAGGTATCAGGATATAGGTCACCATCACTTAAATCATCAGTCCAAATAATTTCTGTTAGATTGGCTACTAATTAGCTGTCAGAAGCACCTAATTTTAATGTCAGGTTTAATTTATTTGTTCTTTTACTCAGAATTATTAGCTTTCCACTTCTTTTAAAAACTATTTCTGTATTAATACTTAAGGGTTTCAGACCCTACTTACCTTATTTCTTTAAATCTCTCAACAGCAATGGAAATTTTGCATGCATAGGATATGTGCTGATATTTTTTGCTGTTAAATACACTCTAGCTCCTTGAAAATCTAAGATGGAAGAATTTTGAGATAGGGGTGGGTTGAAGTTATTGTATTCATAGCTAGAACTGGAACACAGAAGAAGATACCCAGTGACAGTGAACATACAAATTAACTGCTTAGCTAAAATATTATTCTACTTTTTTGATGTCAAAAAATATAAACTTTATATTATCAATAATGAATTCCATTTATAAAATGTTAACATACATTAGCCTTGAAAAGCTATGCTTTTAGTGCAGCAATGCTAAACAGCACAAATAATTTAACACATTTAGATATCAAGAATAGAAGCTCACACCAAAAATACTTTAAAGACTATATATTTGTATGGCCTCCCAACAGCATAATATCTAATGTCCTACCAAGGAGTTAAAAATAGAAACAAAAACAACATTTCTCTTTTCTTCCCCAGCCTTTATGAGGTAGAGCTTTATTAATTTCAAAGTATGTATGTGCATAAGGAAGTATAGCCCTGCTTGGGGAAATGTAATTCAAAGAGATGTTTTGCTTAGTTTTCAACAGTTAGAAGCTACACTACATTTTTATATCTTATGGAAACTAATTCTACAGTCTAGGAGCAGCTTCTATGAAAGAATTGTTTCCCACGCATCAGAGAAGTCCTTCAGGTAATGTGGCTATAACAGAATATTGGAGTAGAGATGTAATAGATACCTAGACGTTATTCCATGGAGGATTTTGTTTATCATAACAGATTTTGAAACTGGACTTTGTACCAATGGATAATCAATTTAGAGAGGGGTGTTCCAGGGCAGTGTTCTCACTGTGACCTCTTACTTAGATAGGTCTAAGCAGATAGGCTGCTGTATTTCGTAACAGTTGAAGGGAAAGGAGGGGAGTTGTTTCTTTTTTTACATAGAGCATTGCTTTGATCCCTGGCATGACTTGCAATAATCAAAACTGTAGGGCAAATCTATGATTTTGACTTCTATACAAAAGAGTGAAAATGGTATGAAGGGACACAAAGTTCTGGCCACCACAGATGGAAGAGAGCATTGTGCCATTTTTGCTGTTTGGATCTCCAGTGGAACTGATGATTGAGGGGCTATGGACCCCTCAATTTGTGGATATGTCAGAAGTTCAACTCCTTTAAGTAATGCTCTTTTCCTACCAAGAACACATCAGCCTTGCTTCAATTCAGTTCTAGATAACTAGTACTCAGAAACTGAGAATTCTGGAAGACAATGCTATATTATAAACGAGCTGAGTGTTCAGGTTTTCTTAGGGTTGTTGGTTGTAGTCATGTTGGTCTAAGGACATAGGCAGACAAGGTTCTTTGGGTAAATGTGATATCTTTTATTAGACTAACTCAAATAGTTGGGAAAATTTTTCTTAGCAAGCTTTCTGGTTTAAATACCCTTCATATTTAAACCCAAAAGCTTGCTAAGATTTTTTCCAACTATTTGAGTTGGTCTAATAAAAGATACCACATTTACCCAAAGAACCTTTTCTGCCTATATTCTTGGACCAACACGACTACAACCTACACCCCTGTAATAAAAGATATCACATTTACCCTAAGATGCAGGTTTTCTTAGCACTTCAGTGAATGTTTTTACACCAATTTTTGAACAGCTTTATATAAATGTTTATTAAGATGTGTGGACTGAACCTTGGTTGGACTTCGGAGGCAATAACTATTGAGGTTAAAAACCTATAACAACCCTTTGGGTGTGTCCCAACAAGTGTGTATGTGCAAGGGTGTGTATTTCCTGAAGGACAAATAGCAGTGGCACATATTTGTGCTGCTGTTTGTCCTCAAGCACGCCCCTGCATGTGTGCTCCAGTGCACAGCAAAGTGATCCAGATGGGGTAGGGGAGGCTGGAGCCAGCACCTGTGCTGGCCCCAGCAGTCTTATCTGGGGTCCTAAGGGCCTCCTGGGGCACCAGTGATACTGAGCCAGCCGTTTGGAGCCTGGCCGGCAGCCAGAGCATGGCCAGCCGTTTGGAGCCTGGCCGGCAGCCAAAGCATGGTTCCAGCCAGCCAGGCTCTCTTTTTGGTGGCACATGCTGCTGCTGTGCACGCCACACCACTATTTTTCAGTGGTGGATTTTTTTGACACCAGGATCTCTCAGTATCAAAAAACCAACACACCACTAATTAGCAGCATGGCAAATGAGTGCATGTGCACCACATGCAGGTTGCAGCACCTCAAACTGCTTTGAGGCACTGAAAACCACATGTGTGCACTTGTCAGGACATGCCCTCTGAGTCCAGAGAGACTTCATGTCAGCCATCAGTTGAAGAAAATCAGTATGATAATCATGTATATAGAATGCTACAGAGAGGTTCAGCAAGATGCATAAAGATATATTTTCTTTGTGGACTGGAGTTGTAGAGAACCAAGGCTCTAAATGGCTGCTTTGTACTGTGAACTGGTGGCTGACAGAAGGCATTAGAGAGTTTGTTTTTACAGTATCTTAATCAGCTTGGTTAGCAAAAAAAAGTTTAAATAATGCATAGTAAATTATAGGTTCATTATTGTCAAGTGACTGTATCTTTAGTTCTGCTTGGATTGTATATGTTAAATTGTATAGTAGGTAATCAGATGAAGAGGTGTTGGTGCTTGGTAGCCTATAGTTAACAATAAAACTCATACATTTAACTAGTTTGGCACACATGGTTAAGACATTTTCAGCAGTTCTACAGAAATACTATATGGACACACATTTGCAAAGGCCAAAAGAGCAGTTAATTATGTAATTACTTGTGTTATGCAAGCAAAGAAGGTGCAAATAGATGTGCCTGTGGATATTACAGCTGCATTTTCAGATGCATCCTAAAACTTGAGGCCCAAACCTTTTCTCACTGCAGTCAGCAGCAAAAGTCCTGCTGACAATCAGAAGCAGAGTAGGACCCCATTTAAAAACAATCCTATAGCCAATTCACATCCTGGAATATTTTCAAAACAAAAATGTTTTGTTTCATTATCAAATACCTTGTTTAATTATAAAGGCTAGTTTCCATAGGCTTTGTTCATTTTACACAGACGTGGACAAATAATTCTGCTCGTGTATGGACTATAGAATGGGTCTTTGAACGTTATCAGCTATATTCACTGTTTTCAACAAAGCTACTTTTAAAGTCTTCATAAATGTTTTGTTTTGTGTTATGGAAAACAAAAATAAATAATCTCTTCATATAGGAATATCATGAAGTTCATGGCAAGATTTTATCCATCAATATGATGAATAAACATGATTAGGGATAATGTCCCTTATTCAGTATCTTTAAGTATGCCTAATTCCAAAATCCTGAAACCTTTATAATACTTCTTGAACAGTGGAGGCCATCCTGTCATTCCCATTTCAGTGCAAGGAATGATGACTGGAATCCTTAAAGTGCACGTCAAGTCCTTCTCTGATGTATTAAACTTTTGTAGTCCTGAAAATTAATTTATTTCTTGAAAATCATGGAACGAATGCATCAGATTCCTTCACTCCACAGACTGATGAGATAATTCGGGATTTTCAGCACTATGGAGCTGCCAGTCTTTGTTCCTGTAATAATTGTCATGAACAAACCACAGGCTGTCTGCGGATCCATCTAGAATGATCTGAAATAGAATTTAAAATACTTGTTTGTTCCAGAGTATTCACATTTTGAATCAAATTGACATTTCATAATAGATTCATAGATTCATAGATGTTAGGGTCGGAAGGGACCTCAATAGATCATCGAGTCCGACCCCCTGCATAGGCAGGAAAGA